AAACTCACCTATACTCTTTAAAGATCAAATCTAACCCTAAACCCTAACCTAATCCTAAAAATAAAAAAAAAAAAAAAATCATTTAAATGCATTTTCTAATTATGTACTTTGTTTAAATGCACTATATGTCTTAATTTCAGTCTCTGATAATACTCCTAAAAATTAATTTATAAATATAAATAAGTTTTATAAGCTTTATCTAAATTGATGTGTATATTAGTTCTAAAGAGATGCATATTATATATACTAATTTATCTATATATACTGTATATTTATAAAACCATCAATAAATTAATAAATTTAAAGTTAGAAATATCGAATAGTAAATATTAAATAAATTTGGATATTGCTAACTTGCCCCTCTGTTTAAATTACCAGGGTGCTATACCTCAAAACGTACTAAGTAATTAAAGTTAGGGATTCTAAGTAAAAATGTTTAGAACCTTATACGTAAAAAATTTGGACATTTATATCAAATTTTTATTATGTTATATAAACCTTTATTTCATATTAAAATTGCACCCTAATCTTAGAGTGGTTAACATCAACACGGTTAAAATTAGTCATTTTCAATAAAATTTATCTGTATTAAATTTAATATATTGTACTAAACTATATAGTGTTGGCTAGTGCTCGGCAAAATCAAACTTTTTTTTGACACTCAAATACATGTATTATTGTATTATCGCATTACCATATTGCTGTATTGATTTAAAAGCCAGATCTTCACATGTATTTGAGTGTTAAACACTAGTTTGATTTTGCCGAGCATTAGTGTTGGCATTCTATTGTTCTATTGAGAATCAATTTATTCTACTCTATTCCATTGTTTTATTGTGAATATTATAAATATATATTTAATTTTTTTAATCTTATAATTGCAAGTTAAAAAGAAAAAAAAATTTATATACCGTAATAGCGGGACAGGGCATTTTGAGTAATGGCCTGAGTTAGTTTAAGTTAGGCCAAAGTTCGAAATTACACCCCTGTACGTTTGCTACGCGCAAATACGTATAGAGAAAAATATTTATTGTCGCGGCTAATGCTGATGCTGAAATTTGGACCTATTTTTATATTAAGGTTTAAAATTTTTTGGAGATGTTTTTTTTTTTCTTTTTATTTTTAGGATTAGGTTAGGGTTTAGGGTTAGATTTGATCTTTAAAGAGTATAGGTGAGTTTTAGCGGATACATATCATTTCACTTTACCGACAATTAGTTTACAGACAAGGTTATTTTACCGACAATAATTGTCGGTGAAATGAGCACCACGGGGTTATGTTTTTAAATCGAGACAAATTTCAGCATCAGCTGCGACATTTATCATTCTATATATATACTGTATATATCCATGAACCTAAATTTTTTATTAGCCAATACTAAACCTACAGTACAATATATTTTAAATTAAGTATTTATTACTAACTATAACTAGTAGTTAATATCATACTCGATGGCGCTCATTTCACCGACACTTGATCAATTCACTGATAAGATTATTTTACCGACAACTAATTCTTCATCGACAGTTTACTTCACCGAAAGTTCATAGACAAAGTAATTCTGGTCATTGGTAGGTTATAATTAGAATTAAGGTTAGTGTAATTTTTAAAAAAAAAACTTGTCAGTGAATTAGTGGTCGATAAAATAATCTTGCCTGTGAACTAATTGGTGAACTGAGCTGTCGGTGAAGTGATTGTCGATGAAATGATACGTATCCGTTATATTGAGATACTATATCTTAAAAACATATTATTTGTTAAAAAAATTACTAAAACCCTAACCCTAAATTTGTCTACCCCTAAACCAAAGTTTTAATAACCAAAACCGAAAAATGTCAGAGAAGACGCAGCTGACGGAGGTGACACGGTAGATAAAGATGACGCGGCTAATGATGGCACGGCTATCAAAGATGATGACGGAGACGACATAGCTAAAAGACAAAAAAAAAATTAATGGAATATTAGGTATGTATGTATATACTTACACATTAGTACATAAAATTTGAAAGTTAGGAAATTACTCTTTTTATTACTTTTTTTTAATGTGGCGAACTCTCTTTACAGGGTAACGCATAGTATTTCCCTCAGACATTTTAACAATGACAATTTTGTTATTGTTGATCATATTGACTACAGTTTCAGTTTCATTAAACATAATTTGAATTTTATCTTTTTTTAGTTTTTGGATTCATATTGTTATCAGGAGCTAGGCAACCGGTTGACCAGACTCATAAAGGTTATTGCGACGATGGATACTTGCATGCTTAAGCATGTATTTTCTCGACTTTTCCAATTGAATGTTAACTTCATTGTGGATCGCCGAAATCTTTTCCAAATAATTCGTTACGGCCTGAGGCATTGTTTGCATTTTTCCACTTCTACAACAGAAATATCAAGATTGAACTGTTCGTATATTCCATGGAGTCTATATCCAAACATTACTTCATGGGTATTTACCATAGTGTAACAAATAAATTATAGAATTTCTTTTTCTTTTTCTTTTATTATTATTATTTTATTATATTTTTTTTATTTTATTGATTCATTCAGTTCATTTCGTATTCTTTCTTCCCACCGATTCCATTTTGATAACAGTACCCGCGTATGTTAGTCACGATGTAAATATTCAATTAGTTATTACTAATCGGGTAATTGATAGTGGCTTAGTGGCTTATCCTTCTGTAAGCATGTGCACGCTCAAAAAAGCGCGTATACGTGATTACACCAATTTGTAGATCCTGCGCCTGAAGCGTGTACGTTTAAGATGAAACATATGCGCTTTAGAAAGAGCGTGAACGTTTGTAATAACATGAATTCGCTCAAATTAAAGCGTAAACACTCTAAGACAACAGAATGTATAAAAAATCCTCAAATTTGAATAAAGTTAAAAAAAAGTTCCACGTTTACTTTTAATGACTTAAAGTAATAAAGTAAATACTTATCTCCTGTAAATTTCAACTTGTAACTTTAATAAACTTTCGTAACTCAATTCGATGGACTGAATTGACTTGTAACCTCAAACGTTTTATTAAGACTCAAAATTTCGTGTAACCATCTTTGTACATTTTTGGAACTTGGTCATAAGAACAGTGTTTGGAAATTCTTTTATTTAACAACAAAGTTTAATTAGAAATGTGAAAGTAACAGTCTCCATCTTCTTTGGCATCACCAGCAACAGCTAATTGAAAATATCAGATCTAAATCATGATTGCTTAATAATTAAGCATTATTATCAATCAACTATCACCTTTGAAACATCATTGACATATCAGAGTGTTCTGATAATATTTCTGAATCATTTTAATTCATCATTGTTGTATCAAATTAGATATTAGAATTTCTTAAGATCATCTTAGAATCATATTATCTTTATAATTATTCTTAAGACTAATTTTTTCTAAAAACCTTCCTTGTATTAAATTCTATCTATATAAACTTCTATTCCCATATATGGTTGAAGCTTAAATTGGCACTATTATCTATAATTGTATTCTCGCTCTTTCTCAACAACTATTACATTTAGTGCCAGTTGTGTAAAAAAACAAATTATCCTACCTGAAATAAATATAGCAGATAGAGTTAGCTTCTCTATATTGTAAAAACTTTGAAAATATATATTTTATAAATTTATTATCCTTAAGTTATAGCACAACGCAATCCTTTGGCTCTACAGTTAATCTAGTAAATCTTTCACTACATTCTGCTTTGGGTAATCTGGCCTAGCAACCCAACCCAGTGTAGTAGCTATAGCAACTCTAGCAGCCTTAGCTACTTTAATAATCTAATGTTATTGACAACCTGGCAGCCCAGATCAGGTTGTTGATTTAACAAATACAAGTAGCTCTGGATCCTCAGATTAACTACGATTTACCAAATTAGAAATTAAACTTGGTTGCCTATCCTGATTTTATGGAAGAAGATTAAGATTTTATAACTTGGCTTAACAAGATAGAAAAAGCCTTCATAGCTAATTTAGTTACTAATAATCATTATATTTCTGTTATCATCCCATATCTAAAAGATGCTGTAACTATATGGTGGACCACTACTTAATGTCCACCTAACTCTATTAATACCTAGAATGATCTGGCTTAACCCAATACCAGTTTTTGGCTCCATTTCATTCTTCAATTTCATATGCCAGTCTTAGAAGACAAGTAGTTTGCCTAGTTGGCTACTTAAAAGCAACAACTTGATGAGGATGTTGATACTTTTTATATTGCTATGCAAGAATTATTATGTTGGGTAGAGACTAGAGTACAACCCTACTCTGAAACTGCCAAGATGCAGCTTTTTCTTAATGGATTAAGGCCTGATATTGTACTAGCCATTGCTCCTTTCATCCCCAATACATTACAAATGGCCTATGAATATGCTAAGGCATATAAAGATGCTTGTAAACAAAATCTTTTATACCTTTCTACCTCTATTAGTGCTTTATATTCCATTTATGTATTTTTTAGTACTCCAATTAGGTTTTTTTTTTCTTCTTCTACTTCTGAGTCAGCAATTGAAAAACTAACTAAAGCAATTAATAAGGTGTTAACCCAATTACAAAAATGATGATCACCTACCTTTAATAACTCTTCTAGACTAGTTTGTTACAAATGTGAATGTCTAGATCATATTAGTCAAAATTGTTAAACTCCTAGTATATCTAATCACCTACCTAACACCTTTTAAAATTATATCTCTATAGAGCAAATATATAATTCTAGACAAAATTTTGTTCCTGTAGGATACCTTTATCCTAATATAGTTTTTCAAAATTTCTCTATACTAGTTGCTTCTAATAATGTTTTTAGTAATGATAATGTTATTAATAATAGTTTTGGGTTGAGTAGTATTTTAGAAAATTAGCAGCAAGAGGTTTTATAGACCTTGTTAGCCATGGCTGTCAATTTAGCTCTCTCTAATAATTAAAATAATTTAGATAATCAGAAATAGCAAAATAATCAATCATCTTTTTTTAGCCTACCTGATGAGAATGTCTCTTTATTTGCTATTGGGTTATGGAAAGATAAGCACCCAATTAGTTCTATATGACCAACAAAACATCTTTGTGAAGAAGTTGGAGACTTAGAGTCAGATGTAGAAGAATCATTAGAATCTTTATTAAAAAAAGAAAGAGAAAATGATAAATTAACTAAAGAAAAGAATATGAGTAAGGCCATGCAAAATTAATTAATTGGTTTTCATAACCCGGCCGGGTCAAAATTTGAAAACTTCAAAAAAAAAATTTTTATATGTTTTAATAGCCGGGTAGGTTTTGAAAAAATTTTTTATATAAATTTTATAAAATTTTATATATGAATTTAAAAAAAAAAAAGCCGGCCGGCTGGGTCTATTTAAAAGTTTCATGTTATAAAAACCAAGTAATTAAATTTGTATGGCCTAATCTATCTAAAGTTCTTGTAGTTAAGCCACAGCATGCTTCTATAGTAAGAAAAAAAGTTCTTGAAAATAAGATGTCTCAAATCTCTTCTCTGGTTCTTACTATTTAGTTATAACTGATTTACATAATAAGCTAGCTAATATTACTATTAGACAACTTCTATGGGCTATTCCTGCTATGAAAACTGAATTAATCTATAGTTTGCATAAGAATAAGGTTATTTTTAAGAAAAAAGTAAAAGCTAATATTAGCATACCCTCAATAATAAATTAACTGCTTTATATTGTGATGCCACTATCTTTAGAGTAGAGATTTTTCTAATAGTCGATAGTGGGTCTTCTGAGAGCATTGGTTTGTCTCACTTATTATGTAACTTGGGTATTAAAGTTGAATAACTCTCTATCATTAACATGGTAAATATCTATAAAAAAAGTAAATAGGCCCTCAAAGAAATCTCTGATTTTCTCTTTGCAGTTACTAGTATTAAAATACCTATAGATATAGTTATTATTGATATGAATTCTTATTATACTATTGTGAGCAATAACTAGTTTTCTAAAGTTCAAGCCAAGATTAATTAAACAATATATGAGATAACCTTTATCTGGAATAATAAAAATATAATAGTCCTAGTAAAGTTTAAAAAATTAGCACCTGAACTATTAAATAAAGACTGCCTAAATAAAATAAAGAATCTAAATAAGGATAAAGAAGAAAAATCAGAAGGAGAATTAAATAATAATAAGTATAAAAATGAGGAACTAGAGGATCGAATTTATAATTATTCTGAAATAGAAAATGAGGATTATT